ACTCTAGAAGAGTTTGTCACTTTGAACCGAGGCTACTTCTTTCAAATTCTTTTTTTTTTTTTTAAAGTATTGATCTTAAGGCTTAACCTTAAAATTTACTTACAAAACAACATTTGGAGGGTTACACATGAGCTTATTCATTTTCATAAATTAACTTGATATTTCCAACCCCAAAAGGAACCATTAATAAAAAAAATGTTATTTTACAAAATAAGGTTTAAATTTTAAAAATAACTTTTAAAAAATTTAATTTTTTTAAATATATCAAATTAAAATGAGCAGTGCATCCTAAAATTATTTAAAGAGAAATTAATAATCTAAAGGCAGATAAATGCTGATTTGAAAACATCATGGTATTCAATATCAAAAAAGAAAGAAATTAACATCTGCTTTTTAAGTCATGCAAAATGCAAAAAATGTGTGTTCTTTCCTACGTTCACACTTGAACATAGCCACTATCAGTCAACATTTGACATACCGCAGGCCCACAGCTCTACGTAAACAGCATCAATTTCTCTATCTGGGCTAAAATGGCAAATAAGTTGATCCCAAAACCACCTCAAGGTCAAGTCGAATAACTCTCGAATAGTTTTGTAGCCTTACTCTTGGTCACGAGCAGGGACGGGCCAGACTTTTGGGTGAGGGAGGGCGAAATTTTTTCCTTCCGTTACCTCCAATCCATTCTCTTCATTTGGATAAATAATTAAATTAAAAAATAAAATAAATTTTTTTTTTCTCCTATCATTCATTTTTCTCAATTTGAAGTTTTGAACATAGTATTAATTATAGGTTTTGAGTTTAATCCATAATTTGTACATAAAAAAATTATATTAAAAAAATTTTCCATAAAAATTTAAGAATTTAAGTATCACCTCAACAAGGAATAAACTTACTTTCAATTTTTTATCTTAATAAATTTGTAAAGCAAATTACAACATATAATCTGTGCTGTAAAATTTTCTTTTTTACCCACAAAGATGATAAATTCTTTAATGCATGAATCCGATCCAAATGTTATGTGCTTAAATCAAGCTTGACCTCCAGGGGGAGCATGTTG